ATTTTGATGGGTTTAAGAAAGGCACGTCTACGATTGTGCTGAATTATCTCCAGAAAGAATTTTAATTTTAAATTTTTGTAAAAGTTTGTGCATAGTTGACGAAGAATTGCCAACTATAAACATTCAATTTTTCAAAAATCACATTTTTTTGAACCTTAATGAATCGATACTTCAAATAGCATCAGTGGACGCAAAAATCAACGTGCTTCCCAGTTATACTTTTTCAGTGAAGGTGGTCTTCAAAATTGATTGTCTTTAATAAACAGCAAATAGTTTTTCTGAATGTCTTCACATGTCAGAAATTATTTATAAAATGAAATAGTGTCTAATTTTTCAACCTAAATTAAATCAGTTAAAGATTTTGAGTTTTTCTCCAAAAAATTTAAATTTTTCTTTAAATTTCGTGGTCTATTATTTTACCAGAAGTTATTATTTGTATTAAGCAGGTAATATTTGTTTATTTTTTACCTTGTTCATATCTTATTTATTCATAATTAGTGGATAAATTTTGTTGGTAGAATGATCAAATAAGTGTCACTAGCACTGACCAAAAGATGTTTATATTTCTATGATAGTACTGCTTGAAGCTGACGTTGCTGGCCACCTGAAGAATTAAAAGTAAGACAGTATTCAAATCGACTTTAAAGAAAGGTATCCGAAACGAAAAATTGTTATCGGCTATGTTTGCGATTTGAAATGATATCTAGTCAATACGCGTAGTCCAGTTATTGCTTGAAAATACTACCGATGCCCATTCTTTGGCAAATTCAATTTCACCTTGGACTGTGGATATTTAGAAAATGAGTAATAGTAAGAGGATAAGGCATATGTAATCTTGTCTTTCCTTATCGTACTAATAGGAAAATTGATTCCAGGTGTTAATTTCACAATTCAACTTATTGTATTTTACGGTGCAATGCAAAGCTTGTTTTCCCTAGCGATGGTTCGATGCTAAGTGACCATTAAAAGAGGAGTGTGGAAGTGAGGTGCTCACTCAATTGTCTGCAGAAAACTCAACCAATTCTGTAATGAATTAAAACGCAAATGTGGAATGATACGGAAGAATTCATATTTTATTCGCTTCAAAAAATTAAATTGAAATTGGAAAAAAATAAGCTAGATTGCCCAGTCTTTTTGAAAACTTCAACGCAATCACTGAAAGTTCAAGCAATAGTATTTGTAAGATTTATATAGTAATTTTGAGATTTATACATATTATGAGATGATGTTATGAATTAAAATCCAAACTCTACGACGAAATAAACAGTTTTAAATAAACTTAGCTAATTGTACGGTGTTATGCATTCTCCAGTTTTGTTCTCCTGCAAAGCTTCTACCGTTTGCTACACACGGAAAGCAAAAATTGTAGAAAGTTACTTTGCATGATCTTCATGATTAAGAAAACCGATATAGCTGACACTCCTTGGAAATGCTTCACGTTCTCCATGAATTTCACTTCCCTCTTCTTCCCATAAGCAAAATACCTATAATGAGAAAATCTGTTAATCCTGAGGAATGATACATCGACAAGTCAGTCAATTAATTTCTGTTTAATACGATGGAAATTTTGACGTTCGGAAGTCAGCCTTCCATTTTGATTACCATTTACTGATGAACTGCAGGACGAGTCAAAAAGCATTTGAATAATTCTTGCAAACTCGCCTACGAAATTTGGGTTAACCATTTTAAATCTGTTTTGAGAAATTGATATAATGACAATTCAGGTAAAACCTATCTTTTCAATCAAATATTTATTCTGTTACCATAAACATCAACTATTTAGTCCAGTGTAGTTAATCTCTTTTCGCAGCCTTAATTTTATCTTATATATATTTGTCTTCATTTCCTAAAATATGCAGAATTGAAGATCTCAATTTAGTGATGTAATAAAAATTGCAAGGATGCTTACACAAGCTTACCGAGCGAAATAAAAATGCTATGGAGATTCGTGTTCGACTATTTCCCTTTCCATGACGATTGTATATCATATTTACAATTATGCTTCATCCCTTCAAACAATATTGATAACTTTTAGATAGACAATGCAGATTTTTGGAAAACGGTAAAGGAAAAATTAAGTATAAATTTCTGTCACTAAGAGATGAACTGAAGACTGTTGAAGAAGCCTTGGCTTAAAGACATTTATCCAGCCAAGAAATAATCCAGAATACATCGATTTTAACATCTTTAACACTTTTGCAGGCTGTCTTCGATTCAGCTATATTACTCATATAACACACATTATCACTGATGCAACTTCTACAATACAATTTTCATAAACAGAATTAGCATGCCAACTTCATTAATTATTTTCCTAGCACGCTTTTGTATCAGTAAATTCACTTACCTTAAAAAGGTAATACTATTTTAACTAGTAGTGATGGATTCGATCCATAATATGTAATCTGCAAGACGTGGAAGTAGTGCATGACATCATGATGACATCACATCATGACACCATGCATGACATCGCTAGTCAGACTATTCGATATTCTAAATTACTTTTTGGCAAATTCATCCATGGAATAATGGGAAGAGAAGAGATTTTTCAAGAAATCTTGAAGCACCATTAGGATGACTTACTTTTTTACTGAATTCAACCATCGCACTTCCATCTTTGCAAATATTTCCTTTCATGAGTACTGATTGTCTGAATATCGGACTTACGAAACAGAATTTTTGAAAGTGGAAGATTCGGAGAAATTAATATTACACAAGTAATTGCTTTGGGAAATGAAAATGCGAACTTTTATGAATCACTTGGAACAATTGACAGGTTCAGAAAGAAAGTAAATGGTGTCTTCTCTTCCAAATGCGCACAAACTTTCTTTGCATAGTGAAAAGAAGAACATACAAGTATGTTATGCAAATTCAGCAATAATTCAAAAAAAAAAAAAACCAAATGCAACTGGATTTCAACTGTTCATTTATCCATTATTGCCCAGTTCCATTGAATATTTCATCCTTTGTATTAATTAGTATAAAGAAGAAAATTTCGTAGTAAGGAAACAAAAAGTAATGACGAAAATAATCATAAAGTTTCAATTATTTCCTTCCAAATTTTGATCGCAATTGAAAACAGTTTGCTTTTGCCTAGTAAAAAATTTGATATTTTGTTCATGAAAATTTCAGCAAGGGCGAATGAATGTTCGAAATAATTTGATACTGTGAAGAAATGTTTCTGCCACCTAGCTTTAAGGTACAAAATCACAGAATCTTTCAAGACCTTTTTTGTCACCAATAACAACTTGACCAAGGCAAACTCGAAAGTTTGCAATGCTACAATTTGTAAGTAAAAAATAATTATCAGAAAGATAAGAAATGATTATTCAATAACGAAAACCAGTAAAAGGGATACTCACAGTTACTGAAAGCTTTGGATCCAGTATGCTATATATTGATGACTACATCAGCTCTCCAATCAGTTCTTCTCTTTATCAACCCACAGTAAACAATAATCGATTTGCCTTCTCAAGTTTACATTCGTACTTTTCGAATTATTTTGACCTTTTTCATCTTAAATATATCAGTTGTCGTTTTCCACTTTCAATCTTATTTCGATCATCTTTTATTCTCTTTTTTATTTTTATTTCCAATTTTCTTTCTAAAACTAACACTACTACAGTTCATCAAAAATTTCTATGAGATAATTTCTAATTTTTTTCTTGCAAATGTTGAAACTTCTCAACATAAAATTCATTTTACTTTTTTGAAAGATTTAAGATGGAGGTTACTCTCAATCGACCAGACCAAACACAAAACATTCATAAACTAAAATTGAATATGAGATGAAGAGGATGATTGAATACTTGGAACCATATTTATTTGTAACAATTTTTTTGAAGGGAAAAAATTTGCGGGAAATGCTGATGAAATGAAGTTTGCCCTGAGAGATTCAAATATATAACAAAAAAGAAAATAGAAAATTAATTTATGAAAATCTTACATGAGCTGTTTTCCATTGCTTCAACGCTACCTATTCAGAAGTTCAGAAATAATTGGAGATAATCCTCCCTTTACATTAATTTAATTCGACTAATTAAGCAAAACAAGTGAAAAACCAAAATTGTTTCATAGAAAAATAAAAAAAATTTAGATTTCCTCACATTTCTGTTATTATTCTCCACCAGGAATATAATTACAATTAATTTAAATATGAAAATAACATCTAAAAATCTAACACATCTACAAAATTTCCTTGCGAAGTTTAATTCAAAAAGAATTGAACAAGTTTCAGACTCAAATTACACAGACTTGATAAAACCTACTAATTAATTACCTCTTAATTGCAATTATGTATAGATACGACAATAATGAATGTAAAAAAAAAGGAATTTGTAACACAACAAGTTTCTTATTATTTTATACAATTATTTGCTTGCTTGAAGAATTTATTTGTCAAACAATAATCATTTACTTATGTTATGCTTTATTATTATTATCATTATTATTATTACTATTATTATTACTATTATTATTACTATTATTATTATTATTATTATTATTATTATTATTATTATTATTATTATTATTATTATTATTATTATTATTATTATTATTATTATTATTATTATTATTATTATTATTATTATTATTATTATTATTATTATTATTATTATTATTATTATTATTATTATTATTATTATTATTATTATTATTATTA